CCTCACAGGACTTGAACGAATAACACAAATACCCCTCCCATCCCAAGGGGTGTTTCTGGGTCAGGACTCCCTTTCTCTGGACATTTTCCCAGCATACTATCCTGCTTCTTTGGCTGACCTTTAAAGCTAAAACCTCTGGAACGAAGCCCATGAGAGATTGTGATAAGGCAAATTCAATGGCTTTGGGGCTCACAGAAATGTTTTTCTAAAGCTAAGCAGAACCCCAAAGGCCTCATAGAACCCATTCTTTGTCTATTAGGTTAATACAACAGACCCCCCCGACACACACACACTCCATCATCGTCAGGCTACGGCCTTTGATGGCTTTTTCTAGTCCAGGTTTCCCTGTTCTGGTTCAGTCTCATCATGAGAAACATGCCATGTGAGAGCAGCTAGCCAAGGCAGGGCTGAGGTTCTTGGCTGTGAAGAGCTATCCCGTGCAAGGCCAGATGTATCACACAGGGATCAGATGGGATTAGCCATGCATCTATTCTCCCGCTTACAACATGCCTTTAGATTTACCAGGGAAACTCAGTCCATTTGCATACAGCCTAGCAGGCTAGCCATGAACACCCAGAACTCACTCTCTGACACTCATCAGCATTTAAGAATCCTATTATTCACAGGCCAACATTAACCAGGAAACCAGGCAGCAGCATCTTTGAACAAGGTTCTTCCCGCTCTAGATCATTTCCTACTTATCTGGAAAATCATTCTGAGTTTACTGTGTACAGATAACATTCAGTCTTAACATTTTAATTCAAATGTGATTAAACACAATATGCTAATGCAAAATGCTTTATAATATACATAACTATGATACAATTGTCCTTCAGATATTTTCAGTTTCAAAGAGCATCTCATGTAGCCCAGATTGGCCTCAAATTCAGGATATAGGTGAGGATGACCTTGAACTCCCAATCAGTGCACCAGCGTGCCTACTTTATGAGGTACTAGGAACTGCACTCAGCTCTTTGTACAATACTATCAACTAAGCTCTATCCCCAGCCCTCATTCTCTACATACTGCCCTTTCCTCCCTTCCATCTCAAGCAAAGGTAAATGAGGGAAGATGGTACCATCCAGGGCCATCGGCTTGCATTGTTTAAGTGCAACATAAAACTGTTTTTGAAACAGTTTTAAATGAAATAGAAAATCACTCTCCTCGTGTGCAAAACTCACCTAACTCAGCCACTTGACATCTACATATCTTCCCTTAAAAAAAAAAAAGTCCTCCTTTCACCATATCTAAATAACATTTAGGTCTCACTTATTTCAACCTGTCCCCTCTGATTCGAATTCAAGGAACATTTTTACCACAGGCCTATGTGCTGAACAGTGCATAGCGACCCCTGCTCTGTTATCTCAAGGTTTATCATCTTACAGACCGAGGCACAGGGGTGCCCCTAAGTTCAGTGACTTTCCCGCTCACAGCCTTGCTAGTCTTCACACCCACATGCTCACTGGGGGAGCCCCGTGTAAAGCAAATCTCAGGGTAGCTTCCAGCTGGCTTTACCCTTGTGGAAACCTGCACAAAACGTGACATGGCTGGTGGTGAGGAAGGCTGCTTATTGGTAATCTCCGGCTTGGAATCAATGATTATAGGCAATTCATAGAAGGATAAATACAGCAACTGCAAACCATCTGTTCACAAGAGATCTCCCAGATTCAATTAACGAGAAATTCATTCCTCTCTACACAGATCTCGTCTACCAACAATTAATAACATGTACCTGACCTTATTCCTTTATATTTCTATTCCCTAACCAGAAGGCTGTTAACTCAAAGACTCGGAGGATACAATTAGTGGCAGCGGACAAAGGCTGCTTCTTCTTACCCCAGGCACGCCAACAGCCATGCATATCACCTACCCTGCGGCACCCCATTAGGGGTTGGTAGTTCTAGATACTCCAGGGGCTGCTATTCAGAGCTCAGCTTGCCAACTCCAGGCATCCCACAAGCCCAACATAGCAAGCAAAACTTGATATATTCTGACACAAGAACAACCACTAGCAATGACGATAGCTAGGCATCACTTGAGAGTTTTAAACATAAACCATTCATAAAACCTAAGAAAACATAATGCTATCTCCATAACCAGAGGGAAGAACAACCCGCATTACTGCTCCCTTCTAGAGGGCCTTCTGGCTTGTTTGATTGCTTCTCCCATTACTCTGTATGTCTTATCTTCCCGAAACAGAAAAAGAGAGCCACCTTCCCTTTTCTGCAGAAATCCCCAGGCCAGAAATCTTACCCTTAAATGCTAACATGCTACACACAAAACACTGCATTGATAGTCTAAGTAGGCAGCCAACACTTTACTGTGGTGAAAATTCACTACTTTCCTCACCTAGAATATCATACTAAATATATACATCTACATGCTGCCAGGATCATAAATGACTTCAGAAATAATAAACAAGTTCTTGGTCGAATTTGTGATACATGAGCGAACTCCCCGGACCCCCCCCAGCACAAAACATGAAAACATTCCAGGAACATTGGTAAATTATTTACTGCCCTAAGCTGAACCATGGCCGGTTTATTGCTGGAAAGAAAGAATCATAGAAGGATGGCCAAAGTGTTAAAAGGTCAGTGCAGTAAACGATGAATACGAAATACATTGTCCCTTTACAGTGCCATGATGGTGCGCACGCGGGAACTCAATTTACCCCGCCTAAGCCAAAAGCCGTTTGCTCCTTTCATTTGCCTGAAAATGTTTTACTCTGTGCAATAGCAGATCTTTTCACACTAGTTATTGCAGCAATTCAGGGCTCCTCTGCAACCCCTGGGAGAGCTTTATTTCCACAATGGGATTGTAAAAACTACAGTAAATAGTAGTTAGTGGTATGTATATAAACTTCCTTGGTTTTACTTTTGACATGGAAAGCCGTGGCTCTTTGCTATAAAGACATTTGTAAAAAGTCAGAAGATGTTATAGGACACTGGCATGTTTGCTTGTTCAAAGCAGATGAGAGAACAGTGCTGCCCTCTCACTAGAGGCCACTGGACTCTGCAGTCTTAGCTCAGTTCTGAGTCCAGGAGGACAGAAGTGTCTCTCTACCCTTGCAAGTTAAGAAACCTCCCATTATCAACAAGTCCAGGTCCTTCTAAGCAAATATTAGTGAGCACTGACGGGATATTTGCTTCCAGTCTACTGAGCTACCAACTAGAATTCAGGGAAAAGGGGATTTTACTCTTTCCTTCTGCACCCTGGATAGAAGGATTCTTTAAGCAACAAAATCCCCAAAGGAGCCATCCTGGACCAGAGTCTTAGATTCCAATCATGGCTGTACAGTTGGGGTCAGTCTCCTATCCCAGTGTCCTGGTCTGTTTTATGCCCATTGTGCACCAAGGTTGTTTTTGAAGAAGTATGGCTTCGAGAACTTAGCCTCCAAATGCGGCTGGCAAAGAAGATGCTTAATGTTGGCTGAACTGAAAATGTCTCCTGAAAGATTGGACAGATGTGTTCTTTCTGTCTGTTAGCCTTCCTGTAGGCACTACTGAGATTTATTTGGTGCTAAACTGTAAGGTTTGGTTAAAAGACCTGAATGGACTCCGTGTTTCTTTCATGGAAGAGGTCGATAGAACCCCAAGAGGTAATTCTCCTGCAGGTGGCAGACACTCCGGTAACAAAATCTGACTGGGTGCTCTAACTTCTTCAGGGGACCCAACGAAGCGACGGGGACATAAACCATGCTTCTTGCCCTGGTCTCAGCCCTCCACTGGCTTCTCTGGAATACATCCTCCCTCCAGGAGGGTAAAGAGCAACACCTCCCTCTCTGTCCTCTGTATGCGTACAGCTCCTCCCCAGCTTATTTCTAGAAGCAGGCAAAGGAGTTCATTCCCCCAGTCGAATTTTCCCCCAGTGGGCAGAGCGGGGAGGGGGCTGGCCCAGCATCCTAGACGCGCACAGAGTTCAAATGAAATGGTCTCAGAAATCATCTGTGCTCTTCTCGCTTCATCAACACCAATGGTTACCTTCCTAGGAGCCCCGTGGCACCATGCGAACACTCCAAAACGTCCCTGTGGCCCTTGGGGTTTACACTCAACCCCATTTGAGCTCCAACAGGATTCCCTCCTTGGATCAGTCTCAAAGTTGTGAGGTCCTTAGGAGGGGCACTTACAGAGCACTCTCCAGTCCCGTTTCTGGTAGGGACCTGGGAAAGAGGACAAAATCCAGGGCTTTTAGGCCAGAATACAAATCGGTAGCGCTGGCTAGGGTCCCATAAAAATGTCTTGGCATTTCCCTCAGGATAGCGAATGGAACGAAAGCCCACCAAAGGCACCTCATCAAAACATTCCTGCGACACGCTGCAACAGGGTACCTCACGTTCCACCCCAATAGAAGATTCCGAAGTTCCCCTAGCGGAACCCAGCCAGTGGCTTTCAAAGTCTCCCAGGTTCCTCCCCACCCAGCTCCGGGGGCCCACATTTGGATCCCAGCCAGGCGAACCAGCAGCCAGGACCCCTCTAAATTCGTGCTTCCCTTCTGGTGTCCCGCCCCCTTCCTCTCTCCTCCCACCCCAGCTCCAGTTGAAGCGCTCCAGGCTCTCCAGAGCCCAGCAGTTCTGTGGCCCAAGAGGTTAATCCAGGCTTTCCCCTCCTAGTTGGGTCCAGAGGCGTTCTCACTCTTTGGCCTCGCAAAGGTCTCTACCTTCCCTGCCACGATTACTCGCAGGGGTGTTTCCTCAAGTTAGCAGCCCTCCCGGACTGTCCAAAGGTCCAAGGCGAGTCCGAGTCAGGGCAGAGGCACCCCAGATTTTTCCAAAGACCCTACCTGTCCCGCACAGCTTGTAAAAACAAATTAAACAGGGACCCCAGCAACTTCGGGGCATGCGTGTGATTGTGCAAGGACCGGGCGAGAGCATCGCCCCGGAGTTCGGGCCGCAGCTGCAGAAGTACATCTGGAAAAGGGGGAGGGGTCCGAGGAAAGGGGACAAGAAGTCCCCAACAGCTAGTTTCTAGGTGCAATGCCTGAGTCACCGGGGATTGGGTTACCTGTCCTACGTTGATAAATCCGTACTTGCTGGCTATGCGGTCGGCCTCCGCGAAGCCGCCGGCGATCTTCACTGCCCAGTGGTTGGTGTAGACGCGCGTCCGGCACACTGGGAGCAGGCAGCCCGCGAGCAGCGCCAGCACGCAGAGCAGGTCCCGCCGCCCGAGGCAGCAGCAGCGGCTCCTCCAACCCCAGCCCATGGTCCCGGCGCCTCGCCGCTTTGCTCGCCCGGCTGCTGGCTCGCGCGCTAAGGGCGCGCACAACTAACTTCTCCGGCCTGGGCCGGCGGGGCGCGCAACCGGGAGCGGTCGGTAGGAGGCAGAGAGTCCGGGAGAGGAGCGGAGCGGAGCGGAGCTGCGAGCCCCTTGCAGGCTCCTAGACCATCCCTGGGACAGCGGGGACCCGGGCTACAGGCTCTGGGCCAGCGGGGCGGTGGGCGAGCACTCCCTGGCTGGCACAGGAGGAGGTGGAGTGGGACTGGCGCCTCAGCCGCGGGCTCTCCGGGCTCCGCTCCTGCACTCTTCGGCTGCCTCTCGTTCCTCTCGGGGGGCCCTGGAGCGCGGTGGAGACGACCGGCCCGAGCTCAGACAACGACCAGGCGCCCCCGCTACTCGCTTGTTCGCTCGCCCGCTCGCTGCGCTCCCTCAGGCTCTGAGCAGCGCGCGGCGACTGTGAGTGGCGACGGTAGCGGCGCCCGCTCCGCATAAATGACTTCCCCCCCGCCCCCGAGCACCCCTCCTTTCCCTCCTCTCCCTCCTCCTCTCCTCCGCCCTCACGAGCCCGGCTCAGCCAGGCGCCACCCAGGTCCTAGCGCCTCCCTGTTCTCCCCCACTGTAACCTCTAGGGTCGGGGGACAGTCTCCCCAAAGAGCTGAGAAGAGAGCACCCATAGGTTCTTGGTTTCTATTCCTCTCTCTCCACCAGTATGGATTTGAATTAATTTGCCACTGCTCTGGAAAGTCTAAGATTTACACGATGATAAGACGGAAGCATGGCAAAGATTCATTCATACCGGCTCTAAACATCTTGTACTAACTAAGCATTTTAAGGTCGCTGGTGTCTCAGTTGCTGAACAAATAACTCGAGATTTCCACTCGACTGATTCTTTATGCTTTTCAGCAACTGTTTATTTTGCACGTTCTGCTCCCGGGAGAAGCTGCCACACAGGACAGTTAAGTCTTATCCACTCTTACAAAAGCCAAAGCCAAGTCTGTCGCCTGCTGACTTTAGAGATACTCTGATACTCAGCAACAGTGTCACAGGAGAGTGAAATCCCAGGCTGGAAATGAGAAAAAATGGCTCTAGGGATATCTGGACTAGTAGAGGATGGGCAAGTGTCTGTTCCAAGGGAGTGGCCGTTCGTCGATCTTCCTCATCAAAGGGAGTTTTCCAACTTTCCAAATATGACTTGGGAACAGTGAAGGATGATACTACAAAAAGGATCACAGAGAAAGTCGGATGAAATACCGTGTCTGTGTTAAAGCACAGTGACTTCAGACAAAGCAGGGAACCCTGCTGGGCCTCTTCGAGCTTCTCCATCCACACTGTCTTATTGCAGGTGAGGGGCCAAAGAGTGGCTTACTATAAAAAAGAAAAATTAGACCTCATGAAATAGATCGCCTGGCCTTAAAAGGACTGTCCTGAATTCCCACCTCCCTTTCCCCTCTTCTCCCATTCCTTATCTTTCTGCCTAAGCACTAGTTGAATGTGTCTGAGATTAATCCATTGCAGGATGATTTTATTATCTGACTCATACCTGCGAACTTAATTCTACTAGTGCCTTGGAGCATACATTTTATGGCATTTTGCATATTGTATAAACATGTTATAATTTTGAGTCTGACAAACAAACTCAAAATAACATTTCCCTATATAGCAGGTCAAAGGTAGATGAGAAAAACAGATACCCTTTTCAGAAGGATGTGTATTCTATTGATTGTTCAATTGGCTGGTTTAACACGTCTGTATGAGGACCTGGTATGGTTCCTCTCACATGGTGCTGAACATTGTGATGGGGGGAGGGGGTGGCAGACACACACAAAATATTAGTGGAATTTAGGCTTAGAATTTTCAAGAGTAAATGTGGCTCATTGTTATTCCCATTGTTTTGGTAAAGGGAGAAACATAGGCACTCTGCTTGGTTGTAGAGTGTTGGTGTAGTCTGGCTACTGGCCAGTCCCTTTGGACACAGCTCTTAACCCCACACCATGGACTGCAGAGTAAGGGGCAGGGAGAGAGAGAGAGAGAGAGAGAGAGAGAGAGAGAGAGAGAGAGATTGGTCTGTCAACTGCTAACTGCCAGCCTGAGCTTCTGCAGCTATGCAGCTCAAAGTGGCTGAGCTCCAGAGAGAGCAAGAGGAGCTCACTGAAGATCTATTTTCAGCAAGTGCATAAGGGACAGAATTGGGGGGATTCGCTCTCTGTGGGGCAAAAGCACCTGTCTGACCTCGGTCAGCAGGAGGAGGCTCACAGCCCAAAGTACTTTGAGAGTCAAGTTTGAAGCATGGCCTTGAGATTTCTCTCTAGGACTCTAGAAGTCTCTCAACAGCACACACACACATACACACACACACACACACACACACACACATCAAAAAACAAGCAAGCAAGCAAACAAACAAGCAAACACAAAACACTTCTCTTGAAAGCCATGTTACCTCTGGGTTTGAGCTTGTGAATGAAATAAAGAAGAATGCCCGAGTCTCTTGAGGGCTAAACACTGTTTCCCTAGCATGACAAAACTGCTTGCTATTAATTTTCCTTTGCTGTGTTTACGTTTCTTCACTAGCACTCTTGTATTCCACACGTGTGTCCTGCCTGGCATACCCAAACACGACAAAGATAGACAATGGGGGAAATCACTTAGTCAATTCTTGGACCAAGGCTTAGTTTCTTTAAAAAAAAAAAAACAAAACATATTTTTCCTCTTTGATATAAGTATTAAAAAAAAGGAAGAAAGAAAGAAAGAAAGAAAGAAAGAAAGAAAGAAAGAAAGAAAGAAAGAAAGAAAGAAAGAAAAGTCCAGCTAATGAGATGGTATTTACCACCACATCTGGAAACCTGAGTTCAACCCCCAGGGCCCACATGGTGGAAGGAGAGAACTCCACTCCAGCAGGTTATCCTCTAACCCTCTCAAGAATCACACAGACACACACAGACACCATGCACGCACACACACCACACACACACACAACAAATAAATGTATCTATATGACATCCCTGAATTTTGATAAAGACACTTTCAGCTGATTTAGAGTCTTCATTAGCCCTTTCACATCCTTGAGCGGAGTCTCCCTGGGTCAGGAATGCAGCTTTCAGATAAGGACCAACAGCTAGAGAAGAGGACTGGTTTATTTTGTACCTTTAGGTACATGCTAGCTGTGACTGTCAGCTTTACAACAAATACTCAGAAACTAAAGGGAAAGGGAGCTGATGGCATAATGGTGGCTGGTACACCGTCCCTGACTAGAGACAGGCAGTCCACGTCCAAGGTGGATGAACACTGCCTTTTTTGTATGCACAGAACAGCACCTTAAGGAACCATAGCTGTTCCCTCTATAACTGCCATATGGTGTGAAGTCAGGCAGTTTTACACTGTTACCCTGTCTTATAATACCTATAAGATATGACTTCACAAAGAGGCCCCACTAGTGTTTGGCCTCTCCGCCAAGGCCTAAAATAAACGTTACATGAACTGTAAGCAGCAGTGTCTAAGTAAACAAGAACTCCATAAGGGTGTATCTTGACATTGCACTCTGGAATTATTCTGGGAAGGCTCTGCATTATAGGATACTTCCTGTCTTCCCAGATGAAAATTGACCTTTGAAATTTCTTCTAGGCTTAAATTTTGTAAGTCAATGATAAATTCATAATGGATACTTTGGAGCTGACCAAGGAGAAAAAAATGGAGCTGTATATTTCACAGCTCAGTGGAAGAGTCACCCAGTCACATGATCCCAAACAGCTTTCCAATATGTGAAATTCAGGGAGAGTAATAAAAATTCATCAGATTTAATAATGGTAATAGTTATAAGTTATGCAAATAAGCCACATTTATTAGGCGTTTGTCATATGCCAGGCGCTGAGCCAAATATATTTCAAGTCCCAGGATCATTCACAGAATATCAAAGTTGAAGGGGACCTTAGATAGCACATCATCCAATTTTATTTAATAGATAAAATCACAAAGTTCAATAGAAAGCCACTTTGAAAGACAGTAATCTAATCAGAGAAAAATGAGTTAGATGGAAGAATAATACAAATAAAGCCGAGAAAAGGCTACATTCGTCAACGACAGTAGTGTGCTGTGAACTAGAATTAACATTAGCCTCATAGATACTCAGGTTAGCCAAACCAACACAATCAGGGAAACAGCCATTTGACTTCCCCTCAGACGTCTCAGGTGTTGAACCCAGGCCGCTTTAAAAATATGATCCACGATGCATAACATCCCCAAGACAAAGGTTAGCTCGAAGCTTGCTGTCACATTTACTACAGAAATATATATTCTGTGATCTTAAGAGGGGACACATCCTGCAAGCCTTAGGAAGCCTGAGTTATTTCTTTAACATGTTCAAAGTTGACTTAAAAGGGCATTGTTGACTACCTTCTCTAAGCATTTAAAGCCTGCAGTGACAAACTGATCCTCAGGAAGCTTTCGGTGGTTGATACGGTTTCATGACAATATCTGTAGAGATCCCCCCATACACCAAAAAAAAAAATATTGAACTTTAGGAAGATGTGGCAGTAAAGTTAATGATACCTCCTGGGGTCATTCTGTCTTAACCTGATAGGCTACCCAGCCTATTCAAGTTTAACGCTCCTTGAAGAGAACAATGAAACCAGCCTTACTATGCCTTGGATTGCCCATGTAATGAGCTTTTACAACCTCAGCCAGTGCATAGCTTTACTTTAAGCTATGTACTGTTCCATGTCCCCGACCCAGAGTAATATAAGTATGTATATGGATGTGGTAATCGCTTGCTAAAAGCAGCCAACATATTGGAAGCACATTGTACAACAGATATCCGCTATACATATTAGAGAGAACATGTTATGTCTGTTTGTGGTTATGTTTGCTCTTTGAGTTGGTTGGGGTCAGTAAAATGACTTTTCCCTGAGTAAAAGTCTGTTAAAGATTTCTGTAAAAATCTTTCATTCTTTTTTCATGCCGTGTGTGTGTGTGTGTGTGTGTGTGTGTGTGTGTATGATATG